CGATTGGTCTACTAAGGCGCACACGGTAACCTTTTTATTTCATTGTGTCTTTTATTTTGAGACCTGATTCTTATTGTGGGAGTTACTGTATGGAAATTTACTCTTCTCCTTTATCTTTGTAGTTTTCACGGTGTTCCAAATGCCTGTATGAAATTAAATGCTGCTGGACATCAGTCGAGGCGTTAAGTCCTTTATTTTCGGAGATCAACGTAGTTACAGTGAAAACGTATACCTGCCGACGACACTACATCGCCGGCTGTGTTCAACGGAGCTGAGTCAACGGTCAGGACGGCACTTCACTCTGCATCCACACGGGGGAGCCAGAATCTCTCCTCGCCCATCGCCAAGCTTCTGGAGCAAGCCAATTGTGTAAAGTATAATGAAAGTATGAAAATCAGCCCCAGATAACAAGTAAGAGAAAGAAAGAAACAAAAATAAATAAGTAAAAGAGGAATACAATTCAAAATGACTACTCAAGACAACGAACCATTGTTTCCAAAAGATACTGAACAAGATGATACACATCCAAGAAAATCCTCCAGAGAAAGGCAGTTTACACTTAAAATGCAAGAACTAAAAGTCCAAGAAATAAGTCAAAAGGAGAAAAGATTTATTTCAATGTATGAAAAGTGGAAAATTAAAGTAAGAGACATTCGCACAACATTAAAGGAACAGTGCTCTGAAAGGGATTTGTGTATAATGATGGATGAAGCTGAGATGTTGAATTCTGACTTGAAAAAGCTTTATGATGACATTAGACAGCAAACAGTTCCAACTCAAGAAATCAGAAGGAAAGTTGATGCATGCTCTGCCATCACATATGATTTGTTACACTTAATGAATGTGAGGCTAACTGTTATAACAGAAGATTTTGATCTTGAGGCAGAAAGAGCAAAGTTACGTGCTCTCTTAGACAATGACTATGCCAGATCTATTTATGGGTCTACTGTTTCCAAAGTTTCAACACATAGTCATCGATCTGGACAGCCATCAGAAACAGCAAGCATCTCAAGCAAAAAAGCAGAGATTGCAGCACAGTTGGCTGCAAAGAAAGCTGAAAATGACATGGAAGATGCCATTGAAGCTCAGCGTCAACAACTTAAGAAACTTGAAAATAAAAGAGACATTGAGGTAATGGAAGCTAAGTTGAGGGCATATACTGAGGAAGAGATAAAACAAAGGGGCGAGAGCTGCAGTTCTGTACACAGCAAAGTCACCCCGAGTTTGTTCACCTCTCATGTTAAATGTGAACAGCCAGTCACCCAAAATGAAACGCTGGTACAGGCATTTCAAGAATCAGTAGCACTAACTAGACTACCTGTTCCAGAGCCCAGCGTGTTTACAGGTGATCCTTTACAGTTTATAGAGTGGAGCACCAGCTTTAAGGCTCTAATAGAAAGGCGATGCTCAAATCCTGCAGACAGACTTTTTTACTTGCAAAAGTACATAGCAGGCGAAGCTAAATCTACTCTAGAAGGCTGCTTCTATCGTAAAGATGAAGACGCTTATAAACAAGCATGGGAAAGGCTAAACGATAGATATGGGCATTCATTTGTAGTACAGCAAGCCTTCAGAGAGAAACTCTATAAGTGGCCAAAGATTGGTGGAAAGGAGTATGTAAAGCTTAGAGAGTACAGTGATTTTCTTCAAACGTGCAGTCATGCTATGCCTCATATTAAAGGTCTACAAGTTCTAAATGACTGTGAGGAGAATCAGAAAATGCTAAACAAACTCCCAGATTGGATAACATCCAGGTGGAATCGTTTGGTCACTGAACAACTGGATAAAAGTAAAGATTATCCAAGCTTCCAAGAGTTTTCCTCCTTTATTTCCAAGGAGGCACGCATAGCTTGTAATCCTGTGTCATCTCTGCTCGCTCTCAAGCCACCTGCAGAACCAATTAGAGAAACAAAACGTGCAAGGGCAAACACCTTTGTTACTAATGTAAAGACGTCTAATATTTCCAGCCCTGCATTCAAGTCTAACAAAGAACAAGTCAAATCAAAGGACACGGACAATCAAAATAGAAATGATGTCCCTGCGTGTATCTGCTGTGGAGAGAATCACACCATACACAAGTGCCCATGGCTTACTGAAATGTCTGCAGATGGAAAGAAAAGGTACGTAATGGAAAACAAACTGTGTTTTGCATGTTTGAGAAAGGGCCATAATTCAAAAGATTGTAAAAACCGAGCAATGTGCGGAATTTGCAAAAGGAGCCATCCAACCCCCTTGCATGAGGACCGCTCTTTTTCCGGCAAACAACCTGCACTGAGCACAGTTGATGAAAACACTTGCTCATTATCCTGCTCAATGGGAGAAGGTGAAAATGGAAGCACTTCAATGATAGTTCCTGTGTGGATAACTTCAGTTAATGCTCCTGACAGTGAAACTTTGGTATAGCACTACTAGATACACAAAGCACACACACATTTGTTGATCAAGAGGTGTGTGAAAGACTGCAGGTAGCAACAGAACCAGTCAAACTAAAACTTGCCACTATGGTCAAAAGAGACTCTATTATAGAAAGTCAAAGAGTACAAGGACTCAAGATCAGAGGATACTATTCAAACACATGCATTGAGCTTCCCCCAGCTTACACAAGAGACTTCATTCCACTCGAGCGTTCTCATATTCCTACATGTCAAACAGCAAACAAATGGCCACACCTTGCTAATTTAGCTGAAAAGATGCCCCCTCTAATGAACTGTGCTGTTGGACTTTTGATAGGTTACGATTGCTCCAGGGCATTAGCTCCCAGAGAGGTCATCACTGGTGGTGACAATGAGCCTTATGCTGTAAGAACTGACTTAGGTTGGAGCATTGTTGGAGGTGCACCTCATCTTGCGAACGCTAGTAATGTAACTGGATTTTGCAATCGTGTGTGTGTTAAAGAAATTCCAACTTTAACTCCCTCCGCTATTATTAAAGTACTGGAGTCAGATTTTGCAGACACTAAAGAAAGTCACAGTGACGTCTCCCAAGAGGATATCCAGTTTCTTCAAACTCTAAGCAGCAAAATCAAACAAAATGAGCATGGTCATCTTGAGATGCCCCTGCCCTTTAAAGCACGCCCACAGCTCCCGAACAACAAATCTCTGGCTCAAGTTCGTTTAAAGCACCTCAAAAGGAAACTAGACAGAGACCCAAAGTTTAAAAGTGACTATGTTAAGTTCATGGAAGGAGTCCTCAGAGATGGTGATGCTGAGAAGGCAGACGTGCAGCCAACGTCTGAAACCGCCTGGTACATACCACACCACGGCGTTTATCACCCCCGCAAGCCAGACAAAATCAGGGTGGTTTTTGACTGCTCAGCCAAGTTCAAAGGAACAGCATTAAACGACCACTTACTAACAGGACCTGATCTTACAAACGGCCTCACAGGAGTGCTATGCCGTTTTCGTAAGCACAACGTTGCAGTCATGTGTGACGTGGAAAAGATGTTTCACAGGTTCCATGTTAGAATAGAGGACAGAGACTATTTGCGGTTTCTTTGGTGGGAAAATGGGGACACAGAGTCGGAGCCCACAGAATACCGAATGAAAGTTCACTTGTTCGGTGCGTCCTCATCTCCTGGCTGTGCCAATTATGGCATGAAATATTTAGCCAATGAAAATGAAAGAGAGTATCCATCTGCCGCAAACTTTGTCAAAAAACATTTCTACGTGGATGACGGTCTCACAAGTGTAGAGACAGTTGAGGAAGCAATCAAGCTGGTGAAAGAGGCCCAAGCGTTGTGTGCAAAGGGAAAGCTCCACCTTCATAAGTTCCTATCAAATAACAGGGAGGTTCTGGACTCTATTAATGCTAAAAAACGAGCTGTGGAGATAAAAGACATTGACCTTAACTGCAAAGACCTACCAGTACAAAGAGTTCTAGGCATAAGATGGGATATTAGAAATGACAATCTTTTCTTTCAAGTGACACTTGATGAGAAACCTATAACGAGAAGGGGTATTCTGTCAGTTGTGGCATCCCTTTATGATCCTCTAGGGTTCCTAGCACCTTTCATTCTTGAAGGAAAGAAAGTGTTACAAGAGATGTGTCAAAAGGGTGTCGGGTGGGACGATCCACTTCCTGCTGAGCTAAGATTGAGGTGGGAAGGCTGGATTAGTGATCTGGAAAATCTCAAGTTGATTCAGATCCCCCGATGCTTTAAGCCTGTTGAATTTGGTGAAGTACAGAGGGTTGAGCTTCATCATTTTTCAGATGCAAGCAGTCAAGGATACGGTCAGTGCTCTTACATCAGATTAGTGGGTGATCACAAGGTACACTGCACACTAGTCATGGGCAAAGCGAGGGTGGCACCAACCAAAATAGTTACCATCCCAAGATTAGAACTGACTGCTGCAGTATCTTCAGCCGCTGTAAGCAGCATGCTGAAAAGAGAGTTAGAACTTAAAGTTGACAGAGAGTATTTTTGGACAGATTCAAAGGTAGTACTGGGTTATATCAATAATGAGGCTAAAAGATTTCACGTCTTTGTAGCTAATCGGGTCCAAAGAATCCGTGAGACCACTAACCCTCAGCAATGGTACTACATAGACACAAGCGAAAACCCAGCCGACCACGCCTCTAGAGGCTTGAAAGTCACAGACCTTATCCACTCAAATTGGTTCACTGGGCCCACATTCTTATGGAACAATGAGATTGTCACAGATCAAAGCACGTCTGAGCTTATGGTGGGAGATCCGGAAATCAAAACAATACAAGTGCTACAAACCAAAGCTACGCTACAGTGCAACGTCAAAGAGCTCCTGTCACGATTCTCAAAATGGACTACTGCAATAAATGTCATTGCTCGAATCCAACGCATGGCTAAAGGACTAAAAACGGCAGAACCACCAAATGTAGGAGAAAGACAACATGCAACATTAACTCTTGTCAAGCTTGCACAACAAGAGGCATTTCAAAAGGACATGAGCAATCTCAGTCAATCACAAAGGTTGCCTCACAATCACAGACTGTATGAACTGGATCCATTTCTGCAAAATGGTGTAATGAGAGTTGGAGGTAGGCTTAAAAATGCCTCTTCACATTTTGAGTTGAGACATCCAGTAATACTACCTAAAGACTGTACTTTAACAAATCTCATTATTGCACACTTCCATGAAAAGACCCAGCATCAAGGCAGAGGCCAAACCTTGAATGAGATCGGAGCAAACGGCTTCTGGATTGTTGGAGGAAGTAAAGCAGTAGCGCAGTACATCAGACAATGTGTATGGTGCAGGAGAGTTCGTGCCCCACTAGAGCAACAGAGAATGGCAGATCTACCTAGCGACCGCACTGATCCATCGCCACCATTCACTTATTGTGGCATGGACTGCTTTGGCCCCTTTTACACCAAACAATGTCGAAAGGTATGCAAGCGGTACGGCCTTCTGTTCACGTGTCTGAGCTCTAGAGCAATTCATCTTGAGATGTTAGAGGACATGACAACTGATGCGTTCATCAACGCCCTAAGATGCTTTATAGCTATTCGTGGATCTGTGAGACAGATCAGATCAGATCAAGGATCGAACTTCAAAGGAGCAAAAAATGAACTGACAAAGGCTCTTAATGAAATGGACAAAGACAGAGTCAAATCTTACCTGGCAGAAAAGCAATGTGACTTTCTCATGAACGCACCAAGCTCAAGTCACGCTGGAGGAGCATGGGAGCGACAAATCAGGACAGTGAGGAGCGTGCTGAGTCAAGTTCTTTCCCAAAGTGCTGAAAGGCTGAATGATGCATCCTTAAGAACTTTTCTTTATGAACCAATGTACATTGTCAACAGCCGCCCACTTACAGTCAATTGTCTAAATGACCCCACAAGTTTAGAGCCCATAACACCTAACCATCTTATCACCATGAAAGGTTCTGTACCACTTCCCCTACCTGGCAACTTCGTTAGGGAAGATGTGTATGCAAAGAAACGCTGGAGAAGAGTCCAATACCTGTCTGAACAGTTTTGGAGCAGGTGGAGGAGAGAATATCTTTTCCAACATAACACTAAGACAGCGTTGGCATGCATCAAAACGTAATGTGAGAGTTGGTGATATTGTCATTGTTAAAGATGAGAACATTCCTCGTAATGAATGGACACTTGGTAAAGTTATTGAAGTACATGAGGGTGATGATGGACTGGTGAGAAAGGTAACTTTACAAATCGGAGACAAAAAACTGGGAAGAAAAGGTGAACGCTTACATAAGCCTACTCTTATACAAAGACCTATTCAAAAGTTGGTTGTACTTGTTGAGAGTAATTAAATGGTATCAGACCTATGTTTCTTACATTGTTATTGTTGAAATGTTATTTTTGTTTTGTTTTTGGAAATTACCCTTGATGTTTGTTTAATGTATAAAGTATAACATCGTCATTATTATAAAGGTAATTTGGTGGGAGTGTAACTGGCGCTAAGGTTACCATGACAACTCAAGTTATAGCTGAGTATAACTGACGCTTTGGTTGCCATGACAACTCAGATCATTTTTTGCTGCCGTTTAAGTTTGCTTCTCAAAGAATAAGTTGAGAAGTATTTTAAAGTATGCTGCTATAAAGAGACGTTTTTGCAGCTTGGAAAGAGTGTTATTCTACGATTGGTCTACTAAGGCGCACACGGTAACCTTTTTATTTCATTGTGTCTTTTATTTTGAGACCTGATTCTTATTGTGGGAGTTACTGTATGGAAATTTACTCTTCTCCTTTATCTTTGTAGTTTTCACGGTGTTCCAAATGCCTGTATGAAATTAAATGCTGCTGGACATCAGTCGAGGCGTTAAGTCCTTTATTTTCGGAGATCAACGTAGTTACAGCCTTTATGTGCTTAATGTTTTATGCTGGGGTAAAGTGCTTTGAGTTGTCTGCATGAAAGACATCTACATGGATTTGACTACATCGGATTTAGGGGGTACATAAAATGGGGAAACAACATAAAAACAGTTTAAATGGCCTAACGTTTCTATATAAAACATCAAAGTCCGGTAAGAGACACAGTGTTCTGCTTGTATATGGACTGAGAGGACAAAAGCCGGTGCATAAAGGCAGGTATGACTCATTACAGCAGTGGGAGGTAGAAAGCGGAAGGAGAGATAGGAAGGGAAGTAAAAGTGCATGTGTTAGAGGGCAAACTGTCAGATAGAAGAATCGATTTCATTCGGGGGAAAAACAACATTGCAAGAATGCCTATGCAGGAAGGATAAAATCTCCTTACAGAAACAAGGAAAATAGAGGCGCATGAAGGGCTAGGGTGATGAAGGGGGAGAGGAACCGCTCATTCCAATGTTTGGCTGCATTCCAGGCTGTCTGGCTCTGCTTCCACTGGACTTACCTATGAATATGAGGACCCCTAAAGGTGCCGTTTCACATGATGATGTAGACTTTTGATAACAAATTCACAGAGGCAACACCCAATCCTGGAAAAAGAAACAGAGATTAACAAGCATGCTACAGTTGTGCGCTCTTGTCACACAAATCAATACAATTTAGAAGCTATTCAATGCTCACATTTTCAATTCCAAAGAACAGTTTTTTGAATTTTGGAGTTTGTATGTTTCTGTTTGGAGCCATATTTTATACAATACATTTTTTTTAAAGTGTTGAATCCCACCCAGAATATGGGCCCCGGTTATATTAAATCATGACATCATACTCAAAAGTCAAGAACAACTTATATGTAGCCTACATCACCCACCACTCCGGGAGGCAGCATTACCGTGTGGGCTCAATTTGTAAAGTTATATAAGCCGCAAAGTGGGGGAAATTGTATCAATTTTCATGGGGGTGGGGGGGAGCTGGAAATGTTCCTAGTTGGTTATCAAAGACCCACATGACCACACCCTGTAATTCATAAAAAAGGAAGACTATGGCTTCACAGGTTACACAACAGAGAGTGTTCAGACATCAGCTGAGGCATGCCTATGATGAAACATTAATCACAAGGATATTTCAAACACATGACTATCGCGTAGTGGCCAGAATAAATGAGGTTGGTGTATTTCGTAGTATTTGTTCTGATTGTATTCTATGCTTTTACTGATGTATACTGTTTGGCTTCAAAGATAAGTTTCCTTGTGATTCAACATTATGACAAAGTCTAGAAGATATGATATGGGCAGCCACATAATTACAGTTAAACTGAGTTATAATCTGATAATGTCAATAGAAAAAAACTAAAGCAGATAAAAATGTCCTTCTAGACACTTTAGTAAGCACATAAGTGTTGTAAGAGGTGTAGATGTATCTTAATGTATATTATGGGGAGAAAAAGTATAAAAGACTATGACTCAGGCATGGCGTATGCGAACTGTGACAAATGGAAAAGGAGATTTTGAGTGTTATGACAACTGTTTTTTGTGAACTACAACTGTTTTCACACTGCTGCTTGTCAATCTTAACTGTGCCGTTACTTTTTGAAAGAAGTTTGCCAACAAACATGTGCTTCAAATAGTGGAACAAAAGCAATCTCCCCTCTTCAACAGCACACTTCTTCTGTCAGAGTAGCTGCTGCTTACCCCGGCTGCTCCAGTGTCTGTATTTAATCAAGCCATAGCCCTATCTCTCCCTCCCTGCTCCCTCCATTCCCTCTCTGACCTTACAAGGAGAGGCAAAAGGGTTGATGTCATTGAATGAAGAATGCTGCAAGAATCTAGAGAGAGAGAGCAGAGGAGGAGGGTCTGTCCCAACCATTTGTGAACACACACACACACACACACACGTACACACACACACACACACACACACACACACGTACACACACACACACACACACACACATTACGTTTACATGAGAGCAAGAGAGAGGTGCTGTTTACATTGTACATACAAGCCCTCTCCGCCAAAGCCAAACGAGAAAGAACTTGTTTGGAAGGAAGAACAGTATCATTCCTTTTGGAGACCAGGAGGAGGGTCTGTTGGAAAAGAGAAGTGATAAGAACTCATTCACGGAACACAGTTTGAGAGAAAGAAGAACCAAAAAGTTTTAAAAAGAGGAAATCCTACCTTACATCTGTTTCAACAAGGTAAGCAACTTATTATTCATAATAGGTAGTGGCAAATCTAGTCATAGTGCACAGAGATCCATGTCTCTACCTAATAAGGCAAAGACTTTACCAGTGAGGAGCCACACACTGGATCTTTCAGGTTGCCATAGTGATTAAATTTTCACAAAACAAACATGAATCAGTATGCGTACTGTAATTTATGCTGATTGTACACTCATAAATGCGTTTTAAGACAATACACTTCATTACTATTTCAAAATTGACCATCATACCTCATTGTGTGGAAATCATTCTGAAACACTAATAAAAACACGTTTAGACTTGATGGCCCCCAAATGATACGATTTGGGGGAAATGCGGAAACAGGAAGTGTGTGGCTAAAGTTGGGTGCGAGTGGAGCTAGCGTTAACTTTGATGTGAGCGCAGTTTTCCTGGGCATCACAGTCGATCCCAGCCCACAGAGGAGAAGCCCGGGGCTGCTGCTGTGGCACTGAGGTAAGAGAAAGACATGTGAGCTGCGTCTGTGGTGCCAACTTCATTCATGGCTAACGCTACATGTGACATTTTTGTTGCTAGCCGCTTGTTGACGCGCAGCCAGATTGCTTTTTACACACGTACACCTGGATAGATGCTGACGCTAGTAGTTGTAGTAGTAGCAGTGGCACGAATGTCGTTTAATCTATGTGCTTTGTTCACTTCATTGGTGTCTGCGTTTAATATGTCACTATTATTTTGCTAAATTGCTAAATATATTTCCTACATACTCGTTTTTGCCCTCGAACGTGAGTATTTTACTATGCTATCTACCCAGGCTAATAATAATAGCAAGACCAGCTTTGATTGCTGATGTTGCTCTAGTTACATCTATGAAGCCCCTTTCAATCTAGTCTATTCTCTTATTCTGATGACACACAAATGATTGTGTGTCATCAGAATAAGCGTTGCTTGAGTCTTGATCTGGCTGAATAATGGGGTGACGCGCCTATGGAGTTAAAGGAAATCCTATTTTATGCGTAAATCTAGTCTTGTTTGTGATCTCATACTAGTGGCTCTCCTTTTTCACACAAAGATACAGGGGGTTATATAGGTTATATAAAGTATCTCAAAATGGGTTATGTGCTAATAATGGCGCTGATGCTGCAAAAGGTTCCATTACAACGTAACTGCGGAATTTGATGTATGTCATTGGCTGACTATTGTGAGTAGCTCTTTAACATGTTGTATTGTGGAAGTTGTATCACACATTTTACTGCTGCCTTAAAAGGAAAACATCTTGCTTGCATCACGGATGTGCAGTGACCTGCAAGATTGGATTGAAAAGGGTTGGGTTTTTTTTCACAATGATGTCCCCCCAGCCCGGACAGTCAGGCTTTCCCAGAAACGGGTGGTGCTATTAACTTTTAAACAATGGGGCAGTTTCATCAGGAACGGATACAATGACACAGACTAAACAGGCTAAAGTTCTGGAGGTTGTCTGGGTTTCAGGTCCTCTGTCATTCAAGAAGTGTGATTGTAAAGAATAATGTAACTTTGAACGTAAAGTGTTTTGGTACTACTAATCCCAATTAAATCAAAATACGTTTTACTAACAGAGAAGAACATTGTCTTGAATACTAGTTTTAGTATAAATTAGGATCTGGCTACGGGCTCTGACAAAAATTCTGAGACCCCATTTTTCTTTATTTCTCTTTATTCGCCCTTGCTCTGGACTACATTGAATATTGATAAGAATTGGTTTGTTGTCTTTGGACAGGACACTTGATTAAACTGGCTTTTGATGCATGGACAGGGTTAGGATTAGTGAAAGCTGACATGATACAGTGGCTTGCAAAAGTAATAACACAACCTGAACTTGTAGTCATAACAAAAGTTCAAGGTGTAATACTTTTTGGAAGTGTGTCTTTCAGGCACTTTTTGTACGGAGGCGCCGCGCAGATGTTGCAACGCAATTAACAGAAACGACCAGGCTCCTGTGCGCAGCGTTAAGATGACTACAGAAAGCAATGTAGTTCTAGCGCCCAGCCAGTAGTGGGCTACACCTGTGTCCCCCCAGCAGTAGATTCACTTCCTCAACAACATCCTTCTCAGGCCACCGCAAAGACATGAAAGAATCCACCAACATCATTCTTCATTTAACAGTAGAGTATGCTGCGAAAATGGAAACTGAAACTACAGCTTCGCATGATCTCGTTTGGACAAACGAAGGAGTAGAATTCTCCTCTGTGTAACGCTCGAAGCACACGTAGAGTTAATGTACCCGACGCCATTGTTGTTTACGTTTGTTCTCGGCTGCTGCGGATAATGTCAAAATGTACGTGCGGAGAGGTGGAGGTCACAGCAGGCAGAGAATTCACACCTTTTTCTTAACGCAGCTGTGAAATAGCCCCCCGCTGAGTCTTCATCTAAACGGAAGGCCAAACCAATACCAACTCTAACGTTTTATTGTCGCAGTGCCTCTTTATTAACGGGGCCTCAGACTGAGGTACAGAAGTAGTTAATGGCCACCAAGTGTTAAGACAGGCGTACACTGACTCTGACTTCTCTGGACTTAGTTAAGTGGTTATAACGATTGCACTACATTACTATAACCCAGGAGCACTATGATTCGGAGTTTGGAAAGTGGCCGCACATGCTCAGTGGATCGCAGTCTGTTTATGTTTTTTGATCCTTCGATGTCTGCTCTTCCTATCATTGTGAAGCAGAATTCTCCAAGCGTTGGATTGTTCACCCCCGTAGGGAACGTGAGCTGGGTTTAGACTTGTGGGGGCGGGTCCCGGCTCAAAAGTGGCCAAATTGACGTGCGCTGACATGCTTGCAATACCACCCCGGGCTGATGGAGGTGGACCCAGAATAAGAGTTAGCCAATGCTAACATATAGCATCTTCTTACCTCTCAAACACCTTTACAGGATGGTCCAAAAGGCCCAAAGTTCCGTTCCACATGTGTGTCAATGCTGAGGAGACTGATTTTTTTTGGACCACTCTAGTTTACTCGCTGTGAATTTTTGAAGTCACTTGTTTTAATGAATGGAGCTCGTGCCGGCTGACGCATGCGCAGATGCGTTTTAGAACGGCGGAGATAGGCGTGACTACGTCCGTTAATATATACAGTCTATGGTTTAGAACGTCGTGAGACAGGTTAGTTTTACCCTACTGATGATGTGTTGTTGCAATATTAATTGCAACAACACATCATCATAATGGTTTATGGAGTGTAGCCCTGTGGAAAACCTCTGGCTACAACTCCTGAGATACCTCTTTTTGACAAATACAAAGTGTATAATGTCTGTCTTCAAGTATCTCTGGGTCATCACAGGAGCAAGCACAGACAAACTGGTGAAGTGGCAGCAGTGATGCGTCGCTGTATTGGGCTATTGTGGTGAATAGGGAGCTGAAGACAAGATTGCAGATACAAGTGCAGAGATAGGTTGAGAAGCTCAGTCACATGAAAGGAGCTCAGAGTAGAGCTGCTTATCCTCCTGGTCACCCCTATGACACGCTGTAGTTACTATGTCTCTCAGCTGGCCTGGGACCGCCTTGGGATCCGCCGGATGATCCGGTGTAAATAGGGATGTCAGGGGCTGTTACTGCTCAGGTCCCTCGTTTGCCTTGGGGCTTACATTCTGAAAATAACCCATAATAGGCTAAATCCACAAAGTAACAGCTTTATGTTTTTACAGCACCACACACTTTTAACACTTTTCTTACCACCTAAACTCATGACTGCTGAAAGATACTGCCAAGATATCAAACCTGCAACAGATGTTAAAATCTGTGCATACAATATAAAATACAGCTGCAGAGGACACCTAGCTGAGGGGCAGGAGCAGGACTGAGGCTACAGGAAGGTTATATGATGCTGTATTGGAGTACGCAACGCATGACAAGGCGTGCGGTGAGAAAAATATAAGGAGTTGTTTGCAAAAGGTGAACCACTCTGTAGAACCACTATAGGTACCTATATTTTCAAGAAATAATTCCAATAAACAATATTGAAACCTCTTCATGCCGCTAATGCAAGTAGACCATGAATAATCCCTGTAAAGCAATGTTTTAGTTTATCCAAAGAAAATAAACTGCAGAACAAAGTAATATGTTGTCAACAGCTAAAACTTTGTAAAACAAAGAATTACAAGAAAATTTAAATTAAAGGACAACTCACCCTCAAATCCACTTTTTTTGCTGATAAACGGTATAAATAGTGTTGTCTACATATCCTGCTCATAATTTTGTCACTTTGGTGCAAATTAGTTGAAAGTTAAACTTTCTGCCTAAAACCGTCTGTGAGGCGCCATCTGCTGGCAACCTGTATTACTACATTTGAATTTTGAGTCTGGCGCCTGAGACCTGACGTCAGCAGCAAGACCTGACGTCAGCAGCAAGACCTGACGTCAGCAGCAAGACCTGACGTCAGCAGCAAGACCTGACGTCAGCAGCAAGACCTGACGTCTGAAGCAAGACCTGACGTCAGCAGCCCCCCGCCCAGAGCTATATAAACGGCCCAGTCTCGTTCACGCCCCCTTTAGTCCTCCAGGCTACGCCCATTTAGAGGAAGATTTGAACAGGAAATGTGAGTGACGTAAGCTCCGAGGAGCGGGGGTGAGAACCACTTTAAGGTTTAAAATACATATTTTTTTATTCATCAGTTATTGAATGATAAATTGATGTTCTAAATGGACAGGTTGATGTATAAAAACACCCATATCATCTTTATACTAAATTAAATGCAGAATTTTAGGTGCTTTGTGCTTTTGTGGTCTTATCTAAACAAAGTTGTTATTTACTAGTACTCATGAACATTCCCTAATATGACCTTTTAAGAGGATGCAGCTTTGAATTGTGTTGAATTTAGGTTCTGTGAATAACCACAGGCATTATACTGCTGCTGAGTTTCACACATTGTGTAACACTTCTCTAATGACTGTACAGCTCTGTAACCTAGCACAAGGTCAAACAATACAGAAGTACCCCATATTGTCCAGAAACAGATGAGAAATTCAGGTGTCCATAGGCCTGTCG